CTGCTCCTGCTCCCGCTCCAATAACACATCATCCAACAGTCCATGGGTGTCCATCTCAAAATAATCTCCTCTCCTATAACATAGCGAAAATTTGTTTTTAATATGCTACCTTTCTTTCACTATGATGCTCCCTTCTAACACTCGACTTACCTCAACACGACGAAAAAAACTGAAGGGGGACGGTGAATCGGCGAAGGCACGGTGCGCTTTGATAGATTTTTCCCTTCGAGCTCCGAGAGACGAATGGCGCCGGCGCTACTCAATCATCTCTTTTTTAAGTTCGGATTTCCCTCCCCTCCATCGATTCTACTGATCGAGCTGATCGGACTTGGCCTTCCCTCCCCTCATCTCCCCCCGCTCTACAGGTGTCCCCTCCCCTCCCATGGTGTCGATGGCTACCTCGCGCGCGGGGTATCTACTTGGCCGGACATACTCCCCCCTCACCGGTCAGCTACTCACCCTGACCACCAACACTGCAGAATGAGCTACTTCCATATTCTGCCACGGAAGAGGTGAGCGCGCCACAATGCAGAGACGATTTGTCTCACACTCGTCATAGTTCTCCAGATCTCCGCTGTGTGGCAGCACATGCTGGGGGGACGAGAGGTTAATGATGTTTACAACACATTTTGTATTCCCATTGATAATGTTTTATTTATATAGATAGACATTACATACATTTTTTCTTTGTAATTACTTACACCAAATCTAACATATCAACTAATTCTTCCAGATTGGCTGCTCCTTCATCATCAGAGCTAACATCATCATCATATTCATTTAACTCTGCAATATGGACACTTCCAAAGGCATAAGTGTCTTTATTATTACTACTAATGTATCTCTTATCATCATAGCACGATAATGCACGTTTAGTGGAGAATGCCGTAAACACATGATGTTTCTGATCAGTACATATACGTGAGAATGTTACACTTTTTTGTTTTAACTTTAAAATACAATCTTTATAATCATCATAATTTAGTTGGTTCTTTACAGCACTACGAGGCACACCTTTGGCCACACATTTCATCATGTCACCTGTTTTAAATGAATACATTTTTGGCCTCAGGCCAACAACCCCAGCTAGCACAGCGCCATTTAATTCATCTTTGAATTTACCCATAACTTTTTTATTTTCTGTTGAATACAGAACATTCTCAGGGGGATAGTCACTAAAATCAAAGTGTGCCTTAAGCTCCTCCAGATCTTTATACAAATCTTCTGTCTTTATTGACAGTATCCACGCGTCTGTATCACTGAGTAGAGAGACAACATTTGAACCAAATTTTTTCTTAAGTACATTATAATAACAATTATACATCCATGCTTTCGAGGTGTCTAAAACAACTGCGCCGATGGCGATTGGGCGGTCCAGCTTCACACAACCCTTCCTCCGTTCCACAGCCACCAAATCATTATCAAAAATCTCAAATGAATGAAAGAGGGGGGATCTAACTAATTTTAGAAATTTAGCATTTTGTTTTGTAAAATCAACATTACGTCTCTTCCTTACAGACTCCATTGTCTTCCCAAACACAGAATTATTATATAATTTCCACAGAGACTTTTCAAATGAACTTGTCGCCTTCTTCCTCATTTCAGTATTATACATTATATAGGGCGCTAACCATGCCTTTTGTTCAAACTTAATTACTCTATGTACATGAGTTATTTTTAGACCCAGAGAAACATACAACTTGAGTGTTTCCCCATACACACAATACTTGCTCTTGTCCTTCAGATTTGGAATTAATTTTCTATTACATTTCTTAGGTAAATTATACATTCTTATCATCCTTTTTTGTAGTGGAGACAACTCCTCATACTGGGGGATATAGTGTTCAGGCGCCAGACAGAAGGCATCATGCTCCTTATGGAGTGAGGGTGGATAAGACAGGTCCACCTCCAATATATAACCCTGGGAATCATTTTCTTCAATTTTCATAACATCCAGTTCATTGATTTCTTGACGGGTGAGGAACCGGAAACCGGACACAGGATTATTTCGCGCTAACGAGAGGCCATACAGATTATTAGCATCAGCGTACAGACCCCACGTGATCTCTTTAGAGGGGTCAAAATTAGGCAATCTTGGATTATTGAACTCCATTAATCGGTGGGTAATTATGCTGACTCCACCACGTACGGTCTGCTCGACCATCTCATGGATATCTATGTCTGTAATGAGAGACAGTTCTTGCCCTGTAAACAAAAGGGCTGCATCCCAGCTTAATCCAGGCCCACTATAGTAATAGGCACAGTCCAGTTTAAAGTGCTTCATTGTACTCCTCCGATAAGTTTCAAAGGTGGACCCTAACAACAATACATCGCTTAAAAGATATGCGTCATGGAAGTCCCACAGATTTTCCATATTGAATGTTTTGAACACGTTTTGAGCATGCGAATAATCTTCATCAGAAATATGTTCTCCCGTCAAATCATTTTTAAAACATTCTTTCGGGGGAAGCTTTTTTTCCAGGAAGGTACTCTCTTCTTGAAAGTAACTGTAAGGGTACACTCCTTTCCGACTTAGCAATTCACGTTTCTCTTCATCAGGATACATTTCAATCAATAGGGTCAAATCCTCCTTTTTTAAATCAGCAACTAATTTCTCCAGCGGGCTGCTTAAGAAGTTGAACGTGTCCAATATTCTCAGATTACCCCACGTGACAGCAACATAGCGCTCCTTTGTTCGTGGGATGCAAGATAAATCAGTACCATCACTGAGCTCACCTATAGCACTTATAAGGAAGTGGATATCATACCGAGACATACAGTGAAAGTACACAGGAATAAATTGTTTTCTTTTTAAATTAAGGTTACAACGGGAACATGCACAGCCACGATAGTTATCTACCTCAATCTGGTGGTCATGGTCACGACATTTTGGCACCCCCTGCCGGGGAACCGGGTCATTACACATATAACAGTGTGTAGCCTCCTGGAATGCTTTTTCAGAGGCTTCAGTCATATCTAGGGGCCAATCAACACCCCTCAAATTCTCCATAATATTTCTCTCTTCCTCTTTCAGACACATTAAGAGGCGTTTTGCCACATCATCCCCTCCGTGCTGTAGAACAGGCTCTTTAACTAATTTACCATCTTTACCAACAACTATATAACAGAAACCGCACGTTTTGTGCACGTGCGTTTTAGATGTCGCCGATCGCTGAGGATCCGGTAGCACGGTATCATATGGTACAACCATACTCTCTAAATCACAATAGATAACATAATCATGTAGAGCCTGGTGGCCATAATTTCTAAATTTAAGAATATTATCCTCCTCAGAGGGAAGACGCACAGCCTGTGCCTCAAAATGGAGACACCGAACTTGGTGCTCATCTCGACGTACACGACTCTGCATTGGGGTGAGACAATTGTCACAATAATACAGCCTCGCGTGATGGTTGTGGCTGTGACCAAGAAGTTTGCTCAAATCTGTAATTAACACGTAATGACTCTCCCCCTCCTCCGATGTGATTAGAAGCATCCGAATGTGATGGGGCCGATCAGGGACTTTTGAAATTCTTAGTGGCACAATATGTTTCTCCTCTTCGAGACCGAACACAGATACGGCAATATTTCTGTTTTGCCCCTCAAATTTGGATATTTGTGTCACTCGTACAGGATATTTAATACCTTGCATATTAATAGGCACTCCCCTATTCCCCCTGTAATGAGCTACTCTCTCAGGGTGACGCTGAGGTAGATTTATCCCTGCAACAATACAATATTTGAAACACTTTTCATCATCAAAATTTTGGATATTTATTAATCCCTTTCTACTATTCTTTAACCAGTTGGGGAGGGGGAGATAGGACGAGCCCCTGATGGCAGCATATTTACACACACGCACCTCAATTTTCTCTACTCGCTCATACAGAATATTACTTCCCTCCTGTGATGAATTTTCAAAACTAAGGAGCACTCCCTGTATTCCCTGCTTCACCGAGTCCTCCACTTCATCCTCCCTAAGTATAATAATTGGAGCACACCGCATATAGCGAATGTCAGAATCCCCAACTGCCTGTTTCTCCCCCTCCTGAATTTTCATATGAGCTGTCATGTACCACTTTATACGTTTCAAATCTTGCATATCCTTCTTGAGCACTTTACTAATCTCACTCTTATTACTAATACACGTCATCTGTAGGTCGTCCTGGTGAGTGATGTGGAGCAGGTGAATGCGCGCATTGCCTTGCACGGCTGTGCGCGTCTCCCACGCCGACTCTTCAGTGTCCTCTTGCACCGCTGCCGCACCGCTCATGAACCTCGATCGCAGTCTTTGATAGCGGTCGACTCGCTGCCGACGCTTGTCGCACCCGAGCACATGCCGCGCACGCATGCCCACCGACCGAAATGTCTTCCGACAGTGCACACAGACATACCTTGCATGGGGTTGGGGATGCTTCCGCAACTTGTGACGAGTTAGCTTGGCAATGGTCTTGAATGCCACTCGACACTTGGGACACTGTAGACTTTTGCACTCCACACCCTTGCGTTTCTGTTTCAGCATTGAGATTCTCGATCCACATCGTCCCACCCGCTTATGCATCCTCAGTTCATATACACGATTAAACGTCCCTCCACACGTATCACATTTGATGTCCTGCGTACGATGCACATGTTGCAAATGTCCTCTAAGGCTGCTTCGGAGCATACTTTTCCCACACTTGTCACACTGCACTTTTCCCCCACTTTTCTTCTTCCGTCGCAACACAGTCTCACTTTGCTGATCCTTGCCTGCCACAGATGTTGAGGGTGGTGCATGTCGCTCCTCGATGTGACGCAACAACACTTCTCCATCAGAGAAGGCCTCCCCACACCATGCACACTTCCTTGCCATCTTGACCTGAAACAATATTACTTACGGTTAACATTTCCCGCCACTCCTCATCTCCAGACTTTGCATAGGATGAATGCACTTACCACTTCAATGTGTATTTTAATCCAACATCACTCGCGACAACATCACTTCGCGCACACGTAATTTAGTCCACTTGATCTTTCCCACACGACCGATCGACTCAGACTGTCCGAGCGGTGCGCGTTCGCCAAAGCGCACCGGCTGATATGCACCCACCCTTCCGCGCCGACTATAGGCCCTCCGTCAGCACAAATTCCAGCGAGCGGCCCTCCCCTCTCTCGCTCCAGCACCAATATTACTAGCACAAGTTATTTACCAACCTTTGCAGTGTACCCATCCCTCCCGAACGGGGTCAGGTGGGATGGGTGGACCGAGCACGTGCCCTTTCTGATCACTTGATACCCCTCTTCTCCGATTCTCAGCTGCAGCCACACATGCACGCGCGCGCCTCCCCTCCCTCCGCAGGCTCGGGCGCGGGGATCGCGGGGGGCCCTCCCTCCTTCCCCACTCCCCTCACCCTCGCGGGCGCGGGGGCCGCGGGGAGACGGCCGGCACCTCTTCCCCCCCTCCCTCCCTCCCCAGCACCCGGCCCTGCCACGCATGGGCTCCAAGCGCGAGTCGCGAGCGCCGGGGAGGTAGACCGCCCATCTAACACCTCCGCCACGCCCGCGTTCGGAGTGCGTTCGGACCCGTACGCCCTTTCTCCCCTCTCTCACACAGGGCACAGCGGACCGGACAGCTGAAGAGCACTGATGCCGACAGACTGGACAGACTCGTGTCCATCAAAAGAGGGAGGTGGGGGAAGTGGGCAATCCAGCAACAGACTTTAGGAGATTCCGAGGAACTTCGAAAAATCCTGGTTTAAGACACTTGCCCCCAACACAACATCACTTTCATCTTGCATCATACATCTTTAAAGGTGTGCCCTCGGCTGTGATGCCCCATGCTTAGGGACATGTCTGCAAGAATATTGAGAGGAAGGGGTAGAGAGAGATGTAGAGAGACAGAGAGTGGGGGGAGGGGGAGAGAGATAGTCCACGTTGCTCTATAGAGGGGTTGACAGTAGGAAGGAGGGGAGGAGGGGGTGTGGGAAGCTGCGCGCACCGTCGCACGGAGTAGGCGTGTTCGGACCCCAAACGTCCATCAGCCCATCAGTTGGAACACGACTAAGCTACTCTGGCAATCCCCCGTATCCCGGTCACCACCAGCCCGGCATGCGCCGTACAGCTGTGAACGAGTGACAAACGAGAGGAAAGTGCGGGGGAGTGACAAACGGGAGAGTGGCGAGGGGTGTACACTGTAGAACATATTGCCAAGTACGTCAGGTTGCTAGTATATTGTTTGAACTTTTTTGACATAAAACGCCTGCAACTGGGCAAAACGGACACACAGGGAGGGCGAAAGGAGTCCGTTGTGTGAACTTTGATCCAAGATCATATGTTAGACGACATTTGAGTATTTTTTTGACAACCTCACCTACGTCTTCACTGGAAAAACAAAGGTGCTATTGCATTTTTAGGGGTGCAACTGCACTCGCGCCTTTGTAGAGGCACGATTTGTGCCAAAAATAGCACCTTTGGGGGGAGTAGCACCTTTCTTGAGGCACTATTTCACTAACGCCTTTCAAAAGGCATTAGATAGCACCTTTGTTTTTCCAGTGTTGCACTAGAGTTGTGACGAGTGACGAGCAGCTAGGGCTATGACGTGTGGGACAGTGACGAGGGCAATGACGGGTACGAGGGTGACGAGCCGGGGGCGGGCAGTGACGAGCAAGGAATTGAAGAGCGGGGCAGTGTCGAAGGCAAGGGCGATTAACGATCATAAGTGTGCGACTAAGTGAGGGTGAGGGGCGGCCCCGGGTGAGGGTGAGATAAAGCGCGTGTTGTGCGTGGAGTGTGAGCCGGGTGGGGCGGTGGGCGCACTAGTTCACCCAGTCAAGCCACTCTGCCAACTTTTCCCATTCGGAATAGCTCCGCGAGGAGGGAAGCGAGGAGAGAGACGGGAACAAGAGCCCCCTGCAGCAGTCGAACGAAGGGGAGCGGAAATCAGTCGGGACACTGCGGCGCGGACGCTGCAGCGCCCACCAATCTGAACCAGACGAACCATTTCTGCTGTTCCACACGGATAAAAGACTTTGACACGGCTTTCTTCGATGGAACAAAGTTGATGAAAGCAGACGAAGACACAATGACTGAAACGAGGTTTAGTGTTATGACCTAATCACTTGTAGAAGAGAACTGTTTTTCATTTTTGCCCGGAAAAACTTCCCCTTTTGGCCATGACAACTTTTGGCAATATGACAATTTTGTTATTTTCGGTGATTTTGGCAATGACCTTGCGTTTTGGCGTCATTACGACATTCTTTACTAGCAACTTTGCGCCAAAACTATCACGGACATTATTCAAATACCACTAAAAACAACCAAGGCGCGGCTATGATTCCATTCGTTTATAATCGTGATTAAAATTAGCCAATCGAATAGAATTAGTCATGGCCGATGACCCCAATGGCGGTACCACGTCAATGTTTTTTTTTTTTTT